CGGGGGTGGGGGAGTCGCGGGGGGCGGGCTTGTTTTGTGGGCAGGGCTCCTGGAGAGGAGGTGGGCCAGGTGGAAGGGCGGGGCTGCCCGGGAAGGAGGAGGAGGAGGTAGACCCTGGATCTGGATCCCGCGACCTCGATAGCGGGGTCTCCCCTCAGCACTCCGGGCAGCCGCCCTCCTGGCCTCTGGACGGCCGCGGGAGGGCAGGGGTTCAGTCCCGGCCCTGGCTCCCCCGCAGGTGGACACCACAGAGCAGCTGAAGAGGATCTCGCGCATGCGGCTGGTGCACTACAGATACAAGCCCGAGTTCGCCGCCAGCGCGGGCATCGAGGCCGCCGCGCCAGAGACGGGTAGGTGCCAGCCCCGTGCGGACTGGGGTCAGGGAACCCGGGAACCTGGGGCCTCAGTGACCCCGCCCTCGCCCTCAGCTGGCCCTGTCCCTGTCCCCTGGAAATCCTACTAGCAGAACCCCCTCCCCTCAAGCCCGAGTTCGCCGCCAGCGCGGGCATCGAGGCCGCCGCGCCAGAGACGGGTAGGTGCCGGCCCCGTGCGGACTGGGGTCAGGGAACCCGGGAACCTCGGGCCTCAGTGACCCCGCCCTCGCCCTCAGCTGGCCCTGTCCCTGTCCCCTGGAAATCCTACTAGCAGAACCCCCTCCCCTTTACTCAGGGAACTCCACTCCGGGAAACGCGCCCTCCAAAAAGTCCAGCCCCTCAGCGCCTAGAAGAATCTCGTCTCCCCAGGTCCCCGAAACCTCACCCCTTGACACTGGAAGTCCGAGAATCCTGGCCCAGGGATCCTTCCTTTGGCCCCCTGGATGAATCCTACCTTCAACTTCCCAGATTCCTGCCCTCTTCTCCTGGGACTCTTAGAGGAACCCATCCCACCCCAGCCTGGGAACCCCACAGCCCTGGAACTGCGACCCTATAAACATTTGTCTGTGGGAGCTCCCTGCTCCAGGGCTCCTTGGAACCCAGATCTCTAGTCCTTCTCCAATCCCACCCCTTGTTGCACTGGAGAGCTGTGGACAGCCCCTCCTCATCCCCTTTGGCTTGTCCCTCCCCAGGTGTCATCGCCCAGGAGGTGAAGGAGATCCTACCTGAGGCTGTGAAGGACACAGGAGACGTGGTCTTTGCCAACGGAAAAACCATAGAGAACTTCCTGGTGGTGAACAAGGTCTGTGGATGGGGGACTGGAAGGAGCCCAGAGGCAGAGGGGTGGGCCAGCTGGGGCGCACTCATCTCCTCCATAGAGACTGAGAGCACTGCAGAGCAGGGGGCAGGGGCACCCTAGTCTCTGGTGCTGCCTCCAGACCCCCTGTCCCATCCCACAGGGAAGGGGATGAGCAGTCAAGGGTTGGGTGTGTGGGTGAGGATTTGGCCACTGAGGCTGTGTGATCAAGAGCAAGAGGAACCCCGCTGAGGGTCATTCCCTGTATTGTTATTGCGGCAGTTTTAATAGAACTGCCAAGCCACTCTCGTACGGTGAGCTCAAGGCTTAAACCTGTGTTTACTGTGAGGATGATGTTCGTAACTTACCTGGCATGAGCTGGGCACCTAGGAGGCATGTTGTATGTTTTCACCTCGGCTGAACAGTAAAGTGCTCAAGGCTGAGATACCATGGTTGTCAGAGGGGGCCGATCAGACAGCTGGAACCTTCAGGCCCAGGGAACCTCTGAAGGACAAAGAGTTGTGACAGGGAGTGGGAAGGGCCTTTCAGGCAGGTGGGATGCCCAGGCAAAGGGGATGCTGCTTGGAGGGAGGCACAGGGGGCTGTGGGAGCCGAGGCTGGACTGTAGGAGAGGCCAACACAGGTAGGGAGGCTTTGAGGTCCTCCACATGGCTCCCTGGTGGCCTGAGGCTCCTGAGGCTGACTGCGCCCGCCCTCTGGCCCCCTGCCCGCGGCAGGAGCGCATTTTCATGGAGAATGTGGGCGCGGTGAAGGAGCTGTGCAAGCTGACGGACAACCTGGAGACACGCATAGACGAGCTGGAGCGCTGGAGCCACAAACTGGCCAAGCTGCGGCGGCTCGACAGCCTCAAGTCCACTGGCAGCTCTGGAGCCTTCAGGTGGGGCCATGGGGTGAGGGAGGGCAAGACCCCCTTCCCAGAGGCACCCCTGACCCTGTCCCTCTTGCTGCAGCCATGCAGGGAGCCAGTTCAGCCGGGCAGGCAGCGTCCCCCACAAGAAGAGGCCCCCCAAGGTGGCTAGCAAGGTAAGGGATGGGAGACAGGTTGGACATGGGGCTTCCCCATCCCTCATGGCCTCCCTTTCCAGCTTGTACTTCTCCAGCCTCACTGACTCTGGGCACCCTCCCTCCCCTCCCTACCCTATAGCCCTCCCAGCCCCCGATTTCTCCTTCCTCTCCCTCTGCCCCCCTGGAGGAATGGGTGGGCCTTAGCACTCCCACCTCCAGCAGAGCCCGCAGTGGGTAAGGCCTCAGCGTGGGCTCCCTAAGTCTGGCCCTCTTCTGCTTCCCCTTTCCCTGTTGGCTCAGTCATCGTCTGTGGTCCCAGACCAGGCCTGTGTCAGCCAGCGCTTCCTGCAGGGAACCATCATCGCCCTGGTGGTGGTCATGGCCTTCAGGTGAGTTGTCCCCTACGCTCTGGGGGTGGCTTACTGGGGCAGTCGTGCTGCCCAGTAGGGTCAGCTGCCTGTGGGACCAGGCCTGGGGGAAGAGGAAGACGTGGCTTGGGAGATCAAGGTGGGCTGGCTAGTTCTGTCTCCTCCCCTAGGGGCTGGGGAGACCCATTTGCAGGCATCACCTGGGAGCCCAGCCCATGGGGCCAAGAACCACAGGCCCTGCCCTAGAGAGAGGGTGCTGGATGGTGGCTCCAGCTCTAACAGTGACCCTTTTCTGTGGCTCCAGCGTGGTGTCCATGTCCACACTGTATGTGCTGAGCCTGCGAACTGAGGAGGACCTGGTAGATACTGATGGGTACGTTGCTGGAGGCCTTGCTGCGGGCCAAGCTGCCAGGCCAAGTCGGGCTTTGGTGGGCAGCCCAGAGTCAGAGGAGCCATGGAGGCTGTTTTCTCTAAAGGGGTTCAACCTCAGGCTCTCAGCCTGCTGGGGGCTTGTGGGCATGAGTGCGAGGGTCTCCCTGGAGGGTGACCAGCCGGCTATTCCTGTCCCTGCTGATACCGATATTTGTCTCTAGCCTGCTCAGTGCTCCTCCAGGTAGCTGGGCCTCTGAGAGTCAGGGGGCCATCCGAGGGGCCCGGGTTGGAACAGGGGATAGGGGAATGAGGGCCAGATTAGGACCTTGGGTGTTGTCTGCCCATTGTCACCCCCGGCTCCTGGGGCCACCTCTGACTGTGTCTTCTCTTTCTCCTCCCCTGCGCCTGTCTCCCCCTTTGTCTCTCTGCTGCCTGTTAGCTCTTTTGCTGTGTCCACTTCCTGTCTCCTGGCCCTGCTCCGGCCCCAGCACCCTGGGGGGAGTGAGGCCCTGTGCCCATGGTACGTGTCTGACAAGTGCCCCTCCCTCCTCTGGCTACCCTTCTTCCTGCCTCCTTTCCACCTTCCCTCTCCACCTCCTCCTGCCCCTCTGCTTCTCCGGGACTCCCAGGCCTCCCCCCTCAGGCTCTCCCAGCCCCTCTGAGCTCAGCCCACCCTCCCCCAGCAGGTCCAGCCAGAGCTTTGGGACCACTCAGCTCCGACAGTCCCCTGTGACCACTGGGCTGCCAGGCATACAGCCCTCTTTGCTGCAGGGTGCGTGTGGGGCAGGTCTGGAGGGATGGGATGGGGGAGGTGGCTGTAGTCAGTGTGGGGTGGGGAGGAGGGGGTGGCGCTGCTGCTCCACTCCAGCTCATACAGCCTCCCGCTTCTTCAGTTACTAGTGGCCTGACGGGCTCAGCCCCAGGTCCAGCCATCCGCACCTTGGATCTGTGTTCCAGCCACTCCTGCCCTGTCGTCTGCTGCTCCTCACCCACGCCCCGCCCCACCACTGACCCTAGTCTTGGGCTCAGCTTTAACCCTGGCCGTGGTCTCAGCCCCAGCCCCAGCCCCAGCCCCACCACCAACCACTCAGGTACTACTGTTTCAGGGCTAGGGCTTGGGTTGTGGGGGAGGGAGGGTTAATGAATCCAGAGAAAGGCCCCAAAGACTCATTGGTGGGATGGTCTCCTAGAGCCCAGAATGAGGCTCTGGAGAGACTGGCGAGTCCCCCTGAGGGGACCAAGAGGCAGATGGGGTTCACTCAGAGTCCAGTGGGGTCCTAGAGACAGGAGGCAGCAAGGTCCCTTTTTCTTAGCTTGTCCCTGGTTCTATCCCCAGGCTCCAGCCAGATGGCTCTGCTGCCAGTCACCAACATCAGAGCCAAGTCCTGGGGCCTCTCAGCCAATGGTATTGGCCACTCCAAGCATCCCAAGAGCCTGGATCCTGTGGCTAGCCCTTCAGTCCCCTTCCCTGGGGGGCAGGGCAAAGCCAAGAACAGCCCAAACCTTGGTTTCCATGGCCGGGCCCGCCGAGGGGCCCCCCAGCCCAGCCCGGGTCCTGCCCAGCCCACTCAGGCCCAGGGCCAGCCAGGTACCTGCCCCACCCCTGACACCTTCCAGCTCAGACTGGCAAGGCTCACTGGCCAGGGCCCATTCCAGCCTAGTCACATTGCTGCCTGGGTGCAAAATTATCAGCCAATAGACATTGGCTGGGCATGTACTAAGTATCAGGAATCAGGACGTATATAGATTCTCAGTTAACCCTCACAACAGTCCTGCAAGAAAGGAATTCTTCTCCCCATTCAGAGGAGGAAATGGAGACTTAGGTGAAGTGACTTGCCTAGGGTTGAACAGCCCATCAGCAGCAGAGCTGGAATTCAATCCCAGGTCTACCTGATTCCAGAGCCTGACTCCTTTGTCACCAAGCCAGGGCGAGGAAGGGGCTGTACAACGTCCCCAAACTTTTACCTAAACCTCAAACCTTTGGCTGTAAGAAAGCTAGAGAACCTTTTATTCAGAGGTTTTCAAACTGAGTTCCTGCAAGATGCCTTGGGGGCTGCCTTGGGGTTTGGAGGGGTGGCTGGGAGCCTTCCTTGCTTCAACCATGCAGCTTTGCTCAGAGATTTGAGCCTCCTCATCAACTTTCATTTGATGGGTTTTGTGGCTTAAAGAAAAAAAAAAGTTCGGAAACTGTGGCTTGCGGAGATTGAAATGCAAAGTGATGGAGAAACCCCAGGGGGTAGATGCTCACCAGGCAGCCGTTTCCTGGGCTGCTGCTCTGTGGCTGGCTCGGTACAGGATACTGGGGGTGATAAGGACAGACATGCCCCTGGCCCCACATAGCTCACAGGGGTTGTGATGAGGCTCTGAGGCACGTGCAGGCAGCTTTGGGACTGGGGAGGGCACTTAATCTGGACTAAGGTGGGGAGGTGGTCTGGGAAGGCTTCCCTGTGACATTGGAGCTGAGTCTTTGAAGATCAGGAGTTTGCCCAGAAGGGATGTGGAGGGGTACCTTCCATCCTGTATCTGATACCTGTCTCTGGCTGCACAGGGCATTCTGAGTCCTGCTGGGTCCTTGGGTCCCTGGGTTGTGTCTCATAGAGCAGAAAATGTGCCAGGCCCAACAAATGTTCAGTGGCTAGTGGCCCAACTTCTCTTTCCCTGGGTGGAATGGTCAGGCCACAACTAGGCTGTAGGTGAACTAAGATGAGCAAGAAAGCCTTGTCACCGCCCCAACCATGTCACACTTTAGTCCCACCCCCTTCCTAGCCAGCCAGTCTGATGGGTTGGTTGAGTGAGGGCTACCATCTACCAGTGGTATGATGGTGGATGTTTAACAATTGGCTTTCTAGGGGAAAAGCTTGTGTGATTTGTGTGTGTGAATACTCCCACCATGGCTGATTTCAAGCTACCCACCTAATGTCACTGAACCCAGAGCTGGGAAGATGCATGCCATCAGGAACAGAGAAGCCTGTGAGTGGGCTCCTGTACAGCACTGGCAAGGGATTTGGAAGACCCAAATGGCTTCTGGGTTTTCCAGTTCTCTCGAGGAGGCAGAACTCAAGCTCATGGGAATTGGCTAGATCTAGGGCTACTGGGCAAGTGTGACCTTGACCATTGTGGGGATCTGGAAAGAAGACCGGAAACTTGTTCATACTAAGGTGTGAGTGACTGATCCAAGTCTGGCAAGGAAATACTAGACTACTTCTCATTTGTGTTCTGCCTTATCACCTTCTTCTCTGCCCCAACAGCCTCTCTCCTTGCAGACCCAGTGCCCTCCCTGACCTCCATCCAGGTGCTGGAGAATTCGATGCCCATCACCTCCCAGTTCTGTGCTTCAGGGGATGCCTGCAGGTGGGCTTGGCTACCTCCCTTCACCCCAAGGAGGTCTCCTCAGGTGAAACGAGTCCAAGTAGAACAGATGCCCAGATCTTGCTCCCTCAGAGAGGCACCTACCCCATAGGCAGGGCAGCCCTTTTCAGGCCTCTGAAGGGCTCCAGTGCAGACTAGGGGCTGAGGCATCGATAGGGGAGGCTTGGGCAGGGTGGTCTCGGGCTAAGGCGCCAGCTTTGTCCCTTCAGGCCTGGAAATTTCACCTACCACATCCCCGTCAGCAGCAGCACCCCCCTGCACCTCAGCCTGACCCTGCAGATGAAGTGAGTGTTGCTGGGGAGTGGGGGGGTGGGAGGAGAGCCATGGAGAAGCCCTTGCAGAGTCTGAGATGGCCAAAACTGAGGATGGCCTGGGGTCCGCTATGATTCCTATGTGGTGGACCCAGACAACCTGGGAAAAGGGGGCTGAGGAGAGGTGCTGGCTTTACTGCCTGCTTCATGGTTAACTGGCTACGTGACCTTGCCTCCCAGGGGCTTTGAGGACCATATGGAATGGTGGAAAGATCTGTACCATAGTAGGACCTTGGTTACTATGTTATGCATTGTTTCCAGGCTGTGTGTGGGTTCAGTGGCTTGTTTCAGGGGTGGGGTTGGGGTGGGGGGCTCTGGGACCCCATTTCCCTGCTAACTGAGCCTCTCCCCAGCTCCTCCTCCCCCGTGTCCGTGGTGCTGTGCAGCCTGATGTCAAAGGAGGAGCCATGTGAGGAAGGGGGCTTGGAACAGAGTCCCCATACCCACCAGGACACCCAGGTAGGGGAAGGAAGCTGGGAAGCTATGGGCCAGCCAGGCCTGAGCTTCCTCTCCCTGGCACAACTGGGCCCCCAAATGGGTGAGGAGACAGAGGCGGGCATCAGAGTGAAGGTGTCTCCACAGGGACACTTCAGGGCCTGGGCCTCTGCGCTACAGGGAAGGGGACACACATGCACATGTTCATTCCACTCACTGCTGAGCACCTCCTGTCCTGGCCATGACAGAGCCCTAGGGAAGGCAGCAGTTCCACAAGGACTCACCTGGATGAGTGCAATGATGGAGATGGGAGAGCATCCTGGGAGCCTGGGGCAGGGAGGGCTGGGGGCCACAGGGGAGGCACGGGGCATAGGAGGAGTCCGCAGAGGCAGGAAGGAGCCTGGACCTCAGGCTCAGGTCAGGAAAGTGGCACAGTTAGATCTGCGACATTAGAAGATCCCTCAGGCTCCGTGAGGAGGCTACCTCCTGGTCCAGGAACCAGATGGCTGGGCCCTGTCACTGTCTACCTCCTCGTGGCCATGTAGCTGGAAGTTAGAACTCTCTGGGGCTGATGGACCACCACTTCTGAAAGGCCATGGGAGGAGACTCTCAGGAGAAGTTAAGGGAAGTAGTAATATTTCTTGTCACATATTTGTGTGTTTATTCAACACATACTTACAGAGGCCTCCTCTGCCCCAGGCCCTATGCCGGGCACAGGTGTAGGAGAGACAGAGTAGAGTAGGGGAGACGGAGTAGACACAGGCTTTAACTTCCCTGAATGCACTCTCTAGTGAGGGAGAAGAGTACTGTGAGCAGAGGGGGGTGTGGGTGAGTGCCCCAAGAATGGCCCAGGCCCCGTAGTTCCGCAAAGGAGAGAGCATCCAAAAGTAGAGGGACAGCCTGGCTAGACACTCATTAGACGTGCCCAGGCCTGGACCCACACGACACAGAGGCAGAACTGCGTGGGGCCGGGCCTCACGCTACCCTGCAAGGGAGAGCCACACAGATCTGGGTTTGGATCCCAGCTCTGCCACACTGATTTTTAGGCAAGTGACTCAGTTTCCTCATCTGTAAGATGGGGATAGTAGCAGCACCACTTTGCTGGATTGTAGTGAGGATGGGTTTAGTGAAATGTGTCCAGAGCATAGTGGGTGAGAGGAAACACAGCAAGACTGGAGAGGGAGATGGGTCAGGTGAAGGCAGCTGTGGACTTGTAGGTTCCTGGTACAGTCTGCATAGTGGGTGGCTGCCGTTGCTTCCCAAAGCAGAACGTGCCCCCTCCTATCTCTTTGAAGCTCTCTGCTTTTCCCCTTCATAAAACGTGCTGCAGACGTCGGGGCTGCCAAGGCCATGGTGAAAACGACATTGGTTGGGATAGGCGCAGGGGGCTGTCCTGATCATCTCTCCCTTCTCCCTCCAGGGCACCTCTCACCAGTGGCCAGTAACCATCCTGTCCTTCCGTGAATTCACCTACCACTTCCGGGTGGCACTGCTGGTGAGCATGGAAGGTCCTGGCACCTAGATCTGTAGTGTGGGGCTTGGGGGAGTGAGGGGAGTTTGCAGAGCATGTGGTATGATTTGGGGCACAGTATATAGCAATGGCAGCAGGGGGAGTGCCACCTACCCTGCACCCCAGGGACACCTCACCCATTCCCACTGCCCTTCTACCCAGGGTCAGGCCAACTGCAGCTTGGAGGCCCTCGTCCAGCCAGCCACAGACTACTACTTCCATTTCTACCGCCTGTGTGACTGAGCTGCCCCCCTGAGGTGGCACCACACCAGGGACAGGGGTCCCCAGATGCCCCTTCCACACTGGACGCAATGGTGTTACACTGGAGCCTGCTGCTGGCCAGCTCTCTGCCGTTCGCTGGTCCTTCCTGAGACTGGTGAAACTGGAAGTCCTCACACTGGAGTTGCTGTTCCTGCTGGTCACCCCTCACACAGCACAGAGGGAGCCAGAGAGACAGAGACTTCCTGCCTGCCACCTCGTTGGGGCCAGAAAAGGACCAATTCATATCTGTCCAGATAAGGTGGTTGGAGTGCTGGCTTCAGGTGCCCTGGAGGCAAGGGGAAGCCTGGGACCCTGATTTGTCCAGGGCCCACTCTCCCTGCCTCCCCTTCTGAGACGGAGCCGCCCCTCTCGGATAGAGGACTGCCTTTGAGATCAGCCTTAAGAGACTCGGCTGGACCCGCATGAGTCAATGGAGGGCAGATAGCTCTCACCTTTGAAGCTGCTCCCTGGAGGATGGCTTGGTAGTTGGAATTCTGGGGTATGACTGTTACTCTGGACTTGGATTTCTAAGCTTTAAGTGTGGCCCAGGAGGTTTCTTCTCCCTGGGAGAGTTTGGCTCCCAAGAACTCCTGGGGCAGCCAAGGCCAGCCCTGGATGGTTGGAAAGACTGACTTTGTGCCTAAAGTCCACTTAGTGCCTAATGAAGCCACCCTCAGCCTTTCACAGGCCTGAGCCAGTGATGGCCAGGGGGCCAGGTAAGCCTTGGACCCTTGAACCTAGAATATCCCAGGAAGGGAAGTTCCCTACAAGCCCCCAGATGGTGTTGAGGCCACACAGCCTGTGGTCCTGGGAGCTTCCAGAGCTCACAGTGGTGTTGGTGACCCCATCATTCTCTCTGAGCAGAGGTACAGGAATCCTTGCAAGCAGCAGGCTGGTCTTGGCTGGTGGGTGGATGCAAATAGCTTTTGCTGTTATTAATGAAGTAATTACTAAATGCACTTAAACCAGGGCCGGAAGGAGTGGCAGAGTGCAGCTAGAAAGCCCAGAGTGGGCCAGGGCCCTGGAGTGACACTTGCAAAGTCCTGGCTCTGATCCCTCCCAGGGAATCTCAGAGATACCCATCCCACTCCTGACCACCAAGACTCTGGCCTCTCCCTCCACTCCTGTCTGCTGGTGGTCTTGTCTCCCCAGATCAAAGTCTTCCTCCCTGGGCTGAGACAAGTTGCAGGGACCCATGCTCATCAGGCCCAATCTCTGTCTACCCCTCCATGAGTGGAGTGGTGTGCTTGGGTTAGGGAAGACGTTTTGTCTCAAGTGCCAACTTCAGTGTTTCTTAATGGTGCCTGGAACATCCACATCTAGGCTCGTGGAAGGAGTGTGCTAACCATTTAGCCATGTCTGCCATGGGTTCAGACACGGGAAGGGGAATTGCCATCCTTGCCGTGTGGTATTCTGCCACCTCTTCGGGAACCAGGCCTTGCCCCTATCCTACCTCTCATTCTCAGCTTTGAGTGGGAGGCCTTTCTGTGGGGGAGCTGCAGGCCCCCTTCTGCCGTCGATCTCGAAGCACTTATTCTCAGGATAGGGAAACACAAGGGCGTTCGGGGATAGCAGGGACACCTCACCTTCCAGCCCCTGCCCAATTTGGCTCTACTCCCTCATTCTGACAGGAATTGCATGACTCCCCATACCATGCAGGGGGGCTGAGCCTTACTTAGGACTACTCTGTTCTCCCTCCCACTGGGGAACACTCCCTATAATGCCTTAAAACTGCCAAGTCCCACCCCTTGTAATGGGGTTCTGGGGCTTCCTCAGTGGGAATGTGTATTCTTGGACTGCAGCCCCTCAGTCCTTAACCAGAAAGTGACCCTTCACTGCCCCCTGGAGCCCATTCTGGATATAGCACAGCCCCAACCCTGTTAGCAGCTGGCTCTGTTTCCATGCTTGGGGAAGGGGGTCCTCAGTGCAGGAGGTGGGGCCAAGCTGGGGCTCCAAGCTGCTTGAGGGGGTCAACCTTGGACCAAAGTTGCTTTAAGCCCAAGGTAAAAGGGCTTCAGGGAAGGCAAGTGGGCCACCTGCTGGGGGCTGCCAGCTACCTGGCTGGCACTGGTATGTGGGTGTCCAGCAGGCCATCCCTTCCTTCCTCTTTCCCCTTTGGCGTTCATTCCTGTAGCCTCCGGGCTCCTCTTCCCCTAGCTTCAAGCTGTACATAGAGCCCCCAGTGCAAATCCCCCTGCCCACACAATACTCCTTAGGAGCCTGCATGTGCATAGAGCGCCCCCTCCCTCCAAGTTAACTCCCATTCCTCTCTCTGAGCTTTGATTCATATTTATCGTGTACCAACTCTGACTCTGAGGTGGGCAGAGAGGGGAGCAGCCCTGGGCCTGCTTGCTTCCTGTCCCCCGAAGTGATCTTTTCTTCTGAAGTAAATATACGTATATAAATAAATGTATAAATACTGCTTTGTATTGGAGCTTGCCTCCCTGTCTCTTTTTGGGATTGTTCTGTTGGGTGAGGGAGTTGCCTGTGGGGCCAGTTAGAACTGAGATGTCTGGAATCTCCAGGGCTCCCAAGCCATATGGCTAGATAATGCTCCGTACCCTTCTTAACTTCACATTAGGGCTGGAAAATACTGGGAATGGACCCAATGGCTCCCCACCCCCCTCCCCCACTTGGCCACACCTCCCCTTGCCCACACACCTGCTGCTGCCCACCTGAGTTAAAAGTAGCCTCCTAGGGGAAGGCCTTCCTAGGGGATAAGCTGAGCCTGACACAGGTAACCCTAGCCTAGAGAAGGGTGGCTACATTTAGAGGGGCAGCATTGATTGCTGTGGGTTCCTAGAGAATTTTGTTCTAGAAACATAAGAGGGTAGGCTTGGACCCTTCCTATCCACAGGTGAGCCTTAAATTCAAATGACAAGATACCCCTGCCAAAGTGTCCTCACCTCCCATAGGTAGAAAGCAGGTTTCCCAGCAACAGGAACCATGTGAAATGCAGATGAGAAATCGGAAACAGTGGGACTGGGGAAGTCACATAGATCCCAGCACAAGCACCCCCTACCCCTGCAGAATGGGCACCGGACAGGGCAGTCACACACTTGCCTTTATTGTGAGCAGCAGGTGGGACACTTCCAGCAAGAGTAAAAAAATTAATTTACAAAAGCAGGGATTCAGTGACACTGTCTGGTTGGTACCTGCAAGAAGAGAGGAGGATCAAAATGAGACAAGTGACCCTTCTTTCCACCTCTTTCTCTCCCTGAACTCCTGTACTCCTAGGGCAAAGGCTAACGGGCACTCCTTTGATTATGAGCCCCCAGAGCTGGTTCGTAGTGACCTGTTTATTTGATGGATTATCTGCAGCAAATTTTACATCCCAGATCCTGCCCCCTTCCAGCTAGTCCGCTTCCTGGCAGCCTCTCCAAGTCATTGGTATAGGACTTGTACGAACGCAAATGTATGACCACGGGAAGCCTGCACCCACATCCCTATGTAGCACACCCAAAGCCAGCGTAAGGCCTTGAGCAGCATGGAGAACTCGGAACTGACAAAGTTGGTCACACTTGGCTCATCCCCATGAAGGGCAGGGAACAAGGCACATGTCAGTGTCCCTATCCATTCCATGAGTTTGTCTCTGTTAACCAAGGGGTCATGCAAGTAAGAACCTGAGGACCCCAATGATGTGGGTATGGGGAAGTTTTTCCAGGCTTTGCCTTGGAGGCTCACACGTCTTACCCTGTTACAGCTCTTACCCTTGGGAGCTCACACATAGATGCCAACCCAGAGCAGCAAGAAGAGGACTCCAAAGCCCATGAAGAGTGAGGCCACCAAGGAGATGAGGAGCTCTTTGTAGATATCCCGAGTGTACTTGGTGGAGGTGACCTCATAACTGGGCAGGGCTGTTAAGGAGAAGCAAAGGGATGGACTGCGGGGTGTAGGGAGCCTCGCCAGTATCGCTCTGGGGAGAAAAGTATGGGCTAAGTGCTTTCCGGGAGGCTTGTCTGCCTCAGTGCAACCAGGCAGAGGCCCAAGAGATAACTTGGACTTCGGTGCTCCACACTACCCCTCCGCCACCCGTGAGAAAATGAGACCTAGAGGGATTAGGTCACTTGCCCCAAGTCATATAGCTAATGAGTGGTGGAGCTGGGACTAGCCCTCAGACCTCCTGAATGCACCCTTCCTTATACCACCTTTCCAACTTCAGCTCCCCTAGTCCCAGCCTCCACTCTAGCCAGTCCCTCTGCTCACTGCCCTGGAAATCTGAAGCTTACCCAAACTTGGAAAATAAAGCCGCAACCTGACCTTGGACATCACCAGCCTTCCCCTCCTTACCTTTTCCAATCTTCAACCAAATGTAAAAAACTAGCAGGGTGCATGTACCCAGTGAGGTTTCTCCTTCAGCTTCCCATGTCACTAACTCTGGCTCACTGGCTGCTCAGCGAAAGGATACACGAAGAACCAGGCAGTGAAGAACATACCAATGGCCAAAAGCACTACGGTCAGATGGGGGAAGACAGCTGGGTTCACTGGGCTGGTGTATCTGCTCATGGCCTCGAGCTCCTAAGGAAGGGCATGAGATCATAGCCATCAAAGAATCCCATAATTTCAGCCTGGGGAGACTGTAGGGTTATTGAGGAATCTTGTGCTGCTGTGACTGCTAGAAGCCTGTTCAGCCTGCGAAATGTGTAAACTTTCAGAACCAGTACCAAGTGATTCAGCATGGGAATGACAATTACAATTATATCTTAAAACTGAGGTGGCACTTTCCAATATGAGACAGGAGACTGAGACATAGAAGGTGATTAGCTGCAGATCAATGGTCCTTAGCATTTTCTGAGGCCAGTGACCACTGTGAAAATGTGATGGAAGGAATGAACTCTCGGCATTGGAAAAACCACATACAAGAAGTTTGTCTACAATTTTCGGAGCTTTGTGGACCCACGTCTATAGACATCAAGAATCCCCACTGTAAGTCACAGAGCCTGGACTGGTATGCAGACCTGAACTCCTAATTCAGTATTATTCTCACTTCACTATTATGGAATCTCAGGATTTACCTGCAAAAGACATCAGTTAAAATTCTGGCTCTACTGGATAATCTGAGTCTCAGTAAAGTGGTTATGATATCTATTTCACAGGGTTGATGTAAGATATAAGAAAGATTATGAATGCTGAAGCACCCAGTTTAGTGCAGTTGCTCAATAGGTGTTTGTTTCCTTCCTAGGGTTAAAAGGCGCATTATGAGATAATGCCTGTGAAAGAGGGCAGTAAATGTAAAGTTCTGTACAAATGTTAACTTCCTTTGTCACCCACCAGCCAACGCTTCTAAAATCCAGAACATAACAACTCCAGAGAAGTAAACTGACCCCATTGTTCTAAGAGACATTGGAATTCAATTCAGTGAACAATTATGTTCCCTCTTCTCCCCCCACCAAAATGATAAAGACAATCGCTGCCATTTATTGAACCTCCAATTGCAGGCCCTGTGTTTAGCACTGGGAAGACAAAGATGAATAGAGATCATCCCAGAACTAGATGCACGTCAGATGGCGGTCACTAGGAGGCGTGGCAGATAACAAAGAAGTCCACGAAACGTGGCGAGATGTCTATACAGAGGTTATGATCGCTCCCAGGAGAGCGGCCAAGTGTCTGAGAAAGTTGCAAGTGCTTCACCAAGAAATGACATTTGCCCAGGGCCCTGTAAGATGGGTACGAGCTCGGCAGGGGAAGACCTTTCCGGATAGAGATAACAGACCACAGGCAAGAGAGATGCAAGCTCGAAGGTATTGAAAATGCACCCCACGCCCCTCACCCTTATAGATCGCGAGCTCAAGCCCGGTGCGATCAAAACCTCAGCCTAAAGAAGTCCGTGGCGAGGGGCTTCCCTTCCCCGCCCCTCAGCCCAAGCCGGAGGTTCCAGGAGCGTCCTGCCCTCTGGATGTCGGGCATCTGAGGCCTCCGCGAGAGATAGGCGGTGCGGGTCCTTCCCCGAGCCGGCCTCACAGCCCGTCCGGAATTCCCCTCAACCCCCTCACCATTTCGTCCCGCACAGGGTAAGCCGCCGAGCCGCCACCGGAAGAACACGTCCGCCGGAGCTGGCGCCTAGTCAGCCGGAAAAGGAAGTGGCCCGCGCAAGTGGCATTGTGGGACTTGGAGTCCTGTGATTTCAGTTTGTAGCGCGAGCTGGCGCCTTCGGAGGCTTGTGGATGGAACGCGGACAAGCAGCGGAGAAGGCAAGGTCAGGGTCGCTGAGAGAGTCCCTTCTTCTTGGCAAGACTGTTTGCCTTGAGTAGCAGCTGTCTGAGGGGCCCAGGGCCTGCACTACATTCCCCAGGAGGCTGTGCGCGGCGGCTGGTCACGTGACGGGAGCGCGGGCTTTGGAAGGCGGCAGAGCGAGAGGAGACCCGCGGTTGAGCTGAGCAGGAACCGGGGATTAGGACTCTCCTTGGCAGCCCAGATCCAAACGCTAGCTGCCGAGGCCTCGTGCCCCAAAGGCCAGGTGAGACCCCATGGGAAGCGCCTCTGAGAGCGACGGGTCTGCTTTGGGGAGCCGGGGTCTGGCGCACGCGGGATTCGCGTCCTGTGGTCCCGCCACTTTCTCGCTGTGAGACTTGGGCCGGTCACGTACCCTCCGAGCCTCTCTTTCTTCACTTGTAGAGAGAGGATAAGGAGACTTTCACTTCATGCGGTCGTGGGGTATGTTTTACTAAGACCTCGGACGAGAAGCATTTGCGAAACTTGTTTAGGCCTCTTTCCTGCCGGTCTCGGTGGGATGCGGCGAGAATATAAACGGCTCAGAAGGCTGGTCCTCTCGGCACGCGTCCTAGCCAAGCAGCCAGCCGGAGGCCTGCCCCGCAGCGCCTGCTGTGACGTCGGGAGTTTTACCTCTGTTGTCTCGGTTAACCTGGCAGTCATCCTGCAAGACGGGCGTGGTTATCATCCTCCTTTTAGAGACGAGAAAACCAAACTTCAGTGACTTAGCAATGTCACACAGATGGTAAATGCCGGCGCCTAGATTCGAGGCCAGAGCTTTTGCCACTGCCATTCCCAGGGGAACTAAAATGAGACAGATCTTGCCGGAGGAGTGAGAGGATGGAGGGAGGTGGGCACAGCTGAGCAAAAGGGAGAAGAGAGGCAGGCCTCATCCCCGCCTTTCTGTTGGGTTCCCAGACTGTAAAGATAGGATGGGAACCAGGGCATGAAAGATCTCGATGCCATGTTGAGGTGTTTGGACTTAATTAGGAGGACTTTGAGTCATTTATGCTTTAGAAATAACCCTGTGAAGGAAGAGTGGAAACAACCAGAAGCCTTAGTAAAATATTTCTTTAGAGTGTTGGACGCATACAACCCGTGAGTACAAGATGACTTTAAGTTGCACCCCCCCAAAAAAGTCCTTTCTAATAGTTATATGTTTAACACATATTAAAATATAACTGACATAACAGATATTATTACTTAAGAAGAGTTTTCTTTTTTTCAGTTTATTTTATTTTATTTTTAATTGTGTGTATTTAAAGAAAACATTAAGTGAATATTTAGATTTTAGTTAAAAGTGGCAAAAATTGTGAGGTGGTTTGGGAAACAATGTCCTAGGAAAGATTTGATAAGGGTCCTGAACCACAGAAGTGCAGTGTGGGCTGAGTGACAATAGCATTCCAGCCCCTAAACAGGATCTGAGGTGGGGCAGGAGGCATGAAGTTCACATTTCAGACTTAGTGGTAGAGACAAAATACAAAGGGAAAGACTTGAAACTTCTAGTGAGATCATAATAAAAGTAGAAACTCTTATATGCTGAGGCAATGCTGAAGGGAAATCAGAACAGCATGTGAGAAAGTCACATTACCCCCATTCAGAAATGTTATATTTGCCAGTCCTCCTTCAGGGTTGCTTTTTCAGTCAGGGTTCTCCAGAGACACACAAAAATTGGATGTATACATATTTATATGTACACATACATCTCCTATATACTGTATTTATTTATAAATATCTGCTATAGTTTAACTGATATTTGCCTGTCCTTAGGGCTCAGTTCTGCCATTATGATTCCTGGACTCGTCAAGCTGGGCCAAGCATTCTCCTCTAGCCTTCCATGGTCCTTGATGCAGACATATGTTGTAATCTTTTGTATGATAGATAATGCCAATGCCTTATCCACCAAACTTTTTAAGTTCCTCAAAACATCAAAAGATCTTATTCCCCCAAGCACCCAGTTTAGTTCCTGATACTTAGTAAGCCTTAGTATTGATTGAGTGACCTCTCCTGCTAGACTGTAAGTTTCTTGAGAACAGGCCTCTTGTCTTGTCCATCTTCTCTTCTTCTGTAGCACTTTGTGAGTGTCCTTTTTTTCCTGCTAAATTTGATTAGCTGAAGGTATGAAGTTGGTGAGATAGTGCCAGTTATAACCCTTGATCCTTTTGCATCCTTAAAGTTCTTCTTTCTCTTACTTGCCTTTCTTTTTTAGCCAACCCTCCTCTGTATTGCCATGGGAATTCAAGGCCTGGCCAAACTAATTGCTGATGTGGCCCCCAGTGCCATCCGGGAGAATGACATCAAGAGCTACTTTGGCCGCAAGGTGGCTGTTGATGCCTCCATGAGCATTTATCAGTTCCTGATTGCTGTTCGTCAGGGTGGGGATGTGCTGCAAAACGAGGAGGGTGAGACCACCAGCCACCTGATGGGCATGTTCTATCGCACCATCCGCATGATGGAGAATGGCATCAAGCCCGTGTATGTCTTTGATGGCAAGCCACCACAGCTCAAGTCAGGCGAGCTGGCCAAACGCAGTGAGAGGCGGGCTGAGGCGGAGAAGCAGCTGCAGCAGGCTCAGGCTGCTGGGGCCGAGGAGGAGGTGGAAAAATTCACGAAGCGGCTGGTGAAGGTCACTAAGCAGCACAATGATGAGTGCAAACATCTGCTGAGTCTCATGGGCATCCCGTACCTCGACGCACCCAGTGAGGCAGAGGCCAGCTGTGCTGCCCTGGTGAAGGCTGGCAAGGTCTATGCTGCAGCCACCGAGGACATGGACTGCCTAACCTTCGGCAGCCCTGTGCTAATGCGACACCTGACTGCCAGTGAAGCCAAGAAGCTGCCCATCCAGGAATTCCACCTGAGCCGGATTCTGCAGGAGCTGGGCCTGAACCAGGCACAGTTTGTGGATCTGTGCATCCTGCTGGGCAGTGACTACTGTGAGAGTATCCGGGGCATTGGGCCCAAGCGGGCTGTGGATCTCATCCAGAAGCACAAAAGCATTGAGGAGATTGTGCGGCGGCTCGACCCCAGCAAGTACCCCGTGCCGGAAAATTGGCTCCACAAGGAGGCCCAGCACCTCTTCCTGGAGCCCGAAGTGCTTGACCCTGATTCTGTGGAGCTGAAGTGGAATGAGCCAAATGAAGAAGAACTGGTCAAGTTCATGTGTGGTGAAAAGCAGTTCTCCGAGGAGCGAATCCGCAGTGGAGTCAAGCGGCTGAGTAAGAGCCGCCAAGGCAGCACACAGGGCCGCCTGGATGATTTCTTCAAGGTGACTGGCTCTCTCTCTTCAGCTAAGCGCAAGGAACCAGAACCCAAGGGCTCCTCTAAGAAGAAGGCAAAGACTGGGTCAGCAGGGAAGTTCAAAAGGAGAAAATAAATGTGTTTCTCCCCAGTATCCCTCTTTGGCCCAAGAATATCTGCCTTGTTGCACCCGTGAGAGCTAGAGCTAGAGAAACCTCCATGGCAGTAGGGAGGGCATTCTGTTGCCTTTCTAGCACCAGCCTTCTCAGTAGTGTTTTTTTTTTTTTTTTTTTTTTTTTTGATCTTATGGCAGAAAGGCCACAGAGATACTTTGTTTTCTTCTTTTTTTAGCTCAGGAAAGTATGCCAGGCTCAAACCACTTCTCAGGCAGTTTAATGGACACTGAATCCATTGTTACATGAAAGTGATAGCAACTAGTTTTAGAGATGGGAGAGGGAGATAAATGATGGAGACAAAAAACTGTATGGAAATGATTTCCTGGCTGGCTGACTGGTGGCCAGTGTGAGGTGATGGTGGAACCAGACTTGCTTCTCTCTAGTTCAGCCTTGACACACCCTGAAAGATAGCCATCAGGAAGACCTAGTCTTAGCGATGGGAACACTACTGAAGAGATACAAACACAGAGCAGGAGTCCCTGGAGTTGACAGCATGGGTTTAATTACCGGGTCTGTCTTGGGGTGGGCAAAAACTTGAACTTGCTATGTAATTTGAGTCTTTACAGTGGTTCTTCAGAGTGAGATGGCGACGTTCTTCTTGCCTTTCTGAGGCAATCAACTGAGTTGAAGCTTTGGGATAAGACAGTGGTTTTCATGTTCTGTTTTTGTAGTAAAGATATAAAGATCAAAAAGTCAATAAAATTACAAAAGTAACCAGAATGTCATGTTCTTTGCGAACATTTGAAAATATCCCCAGCGCTCCAGGCAGAAGACAATGTTCTTTTCACTGTAAGAAAACATGCAGGAATTGTATGCTATTAATGGTGGTTTGAGAGTGGCCACAAGATGGCACCATGCCCCATAGAATGGCCATAGCAACTATGATGGTACTTCAGCCATTTGGAGAAGGATGTCTACTTTATTTTATTTTGCTGGGAGAGGAGGTTTAATAAATTGAATAGATTTCTAGTCTTCTACTTACTTTGTGTGAGATAAAGAGCTCCTTTGAAAAAGCTTTAGTTTAGATCAACAATCTCATAATATCCAAGCATATACTTTGCCAGTTTGTAAATTGTGAAAGCTGCCATTCAGACACCACTTTCTTAATTCCTCTTATGACATCAGATTCAGGTTGCTGTTTCCTATAGAGATGGAATGTTTTTAAACTTTGAAAGTTTTATAATCCTGATAAAGCTTGGTAGGGAGCTGACTCATTTGGAGTTTCTGACTTTTTAGCCTTCTTATCACTGCCATTTAAAATTAACAAGGACATTTAGGTAACTCTGGAATTTAAGTTGACAATGTCTGGACATATTAAACAGGACCAGTGGTTTTCAAATCTTTTAATGGGACAACCTATTTTTCAAGTGAAATCTTATATATAATCTCAGGATATAAGAGCTCTTTTAGTTGAAGTAGGAATGGGATATAGTCTTTCCAGCAGTGGCCTCGTAACTAGGGGATTCTGAAAACCACTAGTGCAGACAAAAAGTTGACCCAAAGGTATGGGAACTTAGTTTTGTTCACTGCTCTATTCCAGCAGTTGATGACAAGTGAAACTGATTTTCCCAGATTGAACCAAGCCACACAACTTACGTGAGCTCCATTTTATTATTTTTATTATTTTTTATTGAATCATAATTGATTATATATATAATGTGAGCTCCATTTTCTGATTCAGGTCAGTGCAGTACCCTGTGGTAGTCAAGCATGTAGAGTGGTTTTTCTCGTTTTTTGAAGGTTGAGTTGGTCTTTATAGAAGTTTATTAATCTAACTATATGGGCATCCTGCAGGAAAATGAGTTCTGCCTGCAAATGTTCTAAAGTTTTTGCTCAGCAGAGCTGTTTTAGTAGGATGAAGGGTTAAGAGGCATTACTCTGCAGTCCAGCTCTGAGGTATTGTGCTTGCAGAGAAAGATTTAGGCAAATAGGATTTATGGGGACTAACTATTCTGAAACTAGAAATGAGTTTAAAGAGACAGTAATTCAAAATGGAAAACTGAAGGACAAAGGGGTGAGGGCACTGCCTCAGGAGGAGGAAGTGATGCACGTAAAACCTGGCAAGTGTATGTAGGCAATCTAGCATTTGAACATGTCATGGGAAAAACTTGGCTTTGCTTTCCCTTGCTGTGGTGTTTTCTGGAAGGTCCTGATGCCCCTTTCTCTCTGCAGTGATTCATGTTCAGAAAGAAGTTAGAGCACATAGATGTAAACAGTAACTTGTAGCAGTGGCACCAGAAAATCTTGTGTCCACATAGAGATGAGCATCATGGATCACAATTGAATATCCTTCATTTGGTCAAAATCAACTTTATTTTTCAGGTTTATTTCATTGAGATGTGACAACAAAATTGGCACACATAAAAAGCATACCGATATGGGGCCTGATTAAAGAAAATGCCTCCCGCCAGGTAGTAGAAAGAAAAAAGGAACAAAGATAAACAGAGAAGTTGGAGTTTTAAAAAACACGTTCAAATGTTAGTTCTGGCATGATCTATGTGTCCAGAGGTGACTTTTCCTCTCTAATCCTATTTTCTCATCACTCATTTTGCCATTGTAGCATTATAAGCCTTTTGTCACTGATGTGTCCCTTTTTGGTCATGTGACAGACCACACTGATAGACTGGGGAGAGAAGGTTACAGTGGTTCAGGTTCTTTAAGTGGTTCAGGACCTGTTCTTGGCTCAACAGAGCCTCACTAGTGTTTGCTCAGATTGGGTAGCCTGGGCCCAGAGCCAGTTGGCTTGACAGACTAGGGACACCACACCCAAACCTCAGGTGGCAAGAAACAGGAATGGGAAAGGATCAGCACCTATTCCTGGAGTAAGGAAGCCAATCAAAGTAGAACTTTTCAATTCTGCTTCTAGTTTTTCTACCCAGGCTGCTTGAAACCAGATTCTCCAGCAGGGCCAAATCTGCCCAAATCGAAAAGATCTGAGCTCTTTTGCAACCTGTTGTATCCCCAACTATTTTTCCCCCTTCTTTGTTTTGACAAACCTCTAAGTAATCCAGACCAGCCTCACCATAGGTGGAGAAAAGACTTAAGTTGCTCCATCTGTTCACTCTAACCCTATCCCAACGTGCCTTGGACCATCATCTTGACTGTCAGCCATTTCCTCCCCAAACTAAATGTAGGCTCTGCTTTTTCCTTCAGTTTGAGGTTCTTCTCCCAGTATCCAAAATGGTCAATATGCTTAGAGTAGAGACTGTTAAACAGGCAAAGAAATAATCCCTTCACCTGGACTGAAAGGCTGTGAGTTCGGGGAGAGAGGAGGATGTGAATGCCAGTGATAAGCCCTGGGAGTTAAGCAAGAGTCCTGGGCATATTCCTGTTTGCTCTCCGGAGACAAAGGTTATATACTTTTCGAAACCAGAAGATGAAAAGACTGTATTTCACTATTAGACTGATAATGCTTTACAAGAGTTATCCCTAAGTTCCTATCTGGTCACCAGAAGTATAAGATGCTTGAGTAGCAGGGGACAGAGGAAGATGCCTAGCTACAGCAATGATGATTACAAGTTTTTCTGTTTTTAATCTTCCTATTTCTGATTTAGAACTATTAAGTGATTATATTTAACCCACTGCTCCTGCTCAGAGATAATGCTGTAACATAATTTAGGTTATAGAAAGTTTCTGCTTATAGCCTTTATATTCCTTATGACTGAAACTTTATGACCAGTAATTAGTATCTTCCAATTTGGTCACTTGTACTCACTAACTGGAATTACACGTTGGGAAGTAAAGGGAAGCCACTGGGAACCTGTTCGTTTCTAGGGAGGAGAAAAGACTAAACTGCCCCATTTGCTCACTTGCTTATGGAGCAAGACATGGACTCTCAGTCCTGGGAGTGTTCTGTTCCTGAGGGGATAGTTAGAAGAGGTTAATCAAAAGATGAAGGGATTTATAATGTCCAGCAACTCTCTACCATTTGTTTTGGCAAGGACTAAGACCTAATATTCCCTCTAGACTCTGGATGAAACACAGGCCAAAATCTACAGTGCCAGGATCCTTCAGGGCCAAATGTCTGCAATACCACAGTCCTGGCTTTGCCCTGCCTGCTTCTGAGACTGGTAATGGCTTTCCCCAGCAGCCTGAGGTAGACCTAGGTCACAGCTAGCCCTGGGCAGTGAGCTGAGTTCCCCTGCACTGAGTTACGCTACGCTTCAGAATTCTAAGCATTAATGCTTCCTTTCTAAATCTTGCTCAAAAAGTTCAGCTGCTCTGTCCCTCTCAGGTTTACAGGTGAGGGTGGAGAAGGCACTGAGAAGTGGGCCAGTGAGATGAGTTCACCCTTTATATCAGCGGGATTTTAGTGCTAAATGTCTTCTTGATTCTTGCCTTCATGTACAGGTCCCCCTTGTATAATACCCTCCTGGTTCCCTCTGTGCTCGCCAGTACTGAGAAGTGGGCCAGTGAGATGAGTTCACCCTTTATATCAGCGGGATTTTAGTGCTAAATCTCTTCTTGATTCTTGCCTTCATGTACAGGTCCCCCTTGTATAATACCCTCCTGGTTCCCTCTGTGCTCGCCAGTCATCTGCATCAGCCAAGCTAGAAAAAGCAAACAAAACTGTCTCACATTCCTGGCCCCACAGCTCCTTTCCTCCTTCTGGGAGGCTTGCATGTCCCCCCACCCCTCTTTGGGTCTTAGATCTGTGCCTAGAAGATAAAGGGGAAGGGTTTGAGTCAGAGCCTTTGTGTCCCCAAACCCACCCCCCCTCTGAATATTAGAACTGTAATGGCATGTTCCCTCAAGCTCTCCTCTGCTTTGGCTCCAGAGTCCTCTTCCTCTTCAGGTGGGGGTTGGGGACTGTTGTTACTGGTGAAGATAGGCATCTAGCCAGAGCTGCCCCGACTCCTTCAGTGAGCTGCAGGGACAGAATGCGAGCAGATAGTGAGGGAGACAGGTGGAACTGAGCCCACCAGAGGTGCAGTAGTGAGGCTGTTGCAGGCAGATGGAGGCTGAGCCCCATGCTATAAGACCCTCTTCCACTGGAGGCTCTCCTCCCCTTTGCTTCTGAGAAAGCTGGCTTGGGCCATGGCACTGAGGAAGCCCCATTGAGAGCAAAAGCCTGACCTGGCCACAAAACCAACACAGCATCCTGCCTTTGCCATGGTGACCTCCACTCCAGACAACTGAGAAAAACTTCCTGTTACTCCCCAGCCCATACCTCACCACCCTGCCCACTGCCCTGCCTTCTTCCCTCCCTACCAGCCATCTTCCTGGGTTCAGGTACTCACTGGACAATGTCGGCGAAGGCTGAGAGCAGCGGCTTGGACCGGTACTCTATGCCATGCTTGGCACACAGGGACTGCACCAGGGGAGCCACTTTGTGGTAATTGTGTCGGGGCATTGTGGGAAAAAGACTTCAGGGAGAACAGGGAAGAGAGTCAGTGGCTCCAGCTCCTCTGCACCGACCTGCCCCCCTACTTATACTCTCCCCAGGACCCTGCTTCCTAGGTCTGCCTACTCACTGGTGCTCGATCTGGAAGTTGAGGTGTCCACTGAACCAGTCGTTGAAGGCAGACTTGTGGACGTTGCATGTTGCCTGGAGCTGGAGGAAAAGGTGAGGGGAGAGCACATCTCTGGGTATCAGATGGTGCCAGCCCAGCCTTCTCCAGGTAAAGGTGGCTGAGGAGGGGCATGGAACTATCCCTGGGCCTCATGCTAACAAGGCATTGCTGTTTGGAGGACTTTTTTTTTTTTTTGCTATTACTTCCCCCTCCCACCTTTTTCATTAGTTGTATTATGCCCAGCACTTCTGAGTGACTGTCCCTTACCTGGGTGGAGACCCAGTCCACGTTTCGGTCGTGGTCAATATGCATGGGGATGTGGTTCATTTGTGTCACCCACACAAACCAGTTGCTTTCCAGGAACCTGTTGGATACGGAACTCAGGCAAACACAGTGCGAGCAGAGCCCAGAGTTCTCACTCCCCCTCAGGCAACCTCTCCAGCCTGGCTAGCTTCCCAAGCCAACTCCTGAAACACACGGAACTCAGGCAAACACAGTGCGAGCAGAGCCCAGAGTTCTCACTCCCCCTCAGGCAACCGCTCCAGCCTGGCTAGCTTCCCAAGCCAACTCCTGAAACATCCCCCTGACCAGACTGGCCACTCCCAAACATCTGTGTTTTCCTTTGCCAATCCCTACTCTCCCATCAGATACTACCTGACCATGAAGAAAAGGCCCAGAAAGCCTTTCAGCCCCAACAGCGGCACATAAGTGAGGAAGATGCGGGTGTAGAAGGTGATCATCCAGGCCAAGTCCTGCAGTGAGAAAGGCAAAGAGCATGAGTCTACAGAGCAACTCTTCCTCTTACTCCACCTGTGTCTTTGCACTGCACAGCCTTCTCCAGGGTACACAGACTGAACACTCAGTCTCCTTCGGCTTCTCTTAGTGGTCTAATCCTGCAATATCTAGTGCCACTGCTCCTTTCTTCCATTCCTAGTGGCACCCCCTAGCCCTCCTTGCCTGTCACCTTCACAAGTACCAAGGTACAGGGCCTCCCTGCCTCCAGCTTCTCCCCAACTCATCTAAATCCTTCAGCATGCTGCCAGATGAATTTGCCTGCACCATGGCTCAGTCCATGCCAGTGCCCTGATCAAATTGCCACTCACCTTTCTGCACATTGACCCAAGCACCATACTTTTCCCCTGACACTTGAGTCCTCCACAGTATGTCTGGCGGTCACACTCACCCTCACTTCCCAGCTTCTCTGCTTGGAGTCCATCCTCCCCCTGCCCACCTCTGCCTGTCCACTTCCTGCCCATGCTCCAAGGCCTGCTAGAAAAGGGACTTCACAAAGCCGGATGCAGTCAGGCTCCTCTGGGAATCCCCAGAACCTTTTGCCTATGCCGCTTTTCTGGTAACAACCATATTCTGTTTCATCAAAAGTTTCCTGAGAATAGATGCTGAGGTGCCGCCTCCCACTCATCTTCCCTTTCCAGCCTGGCCCCTGGCATTATACCCAGCACAAGAGCCTCGGGAGACAACGGCTGCAGGAAATCAGATTTTGGGAGTCAGGTTGCCTGTTAAGCCCAAACCATTTCGTCCTCCCTAGAGATAAGGAGGATCTATACTTTCTTCTATTATTTTTTTCTAAATTAATGCCTGGAATGAGTTTCAGTTTTCTCTGGTGAGCCCTTCCCTTCCCCTCTCAGGTACTGGTGACATAAGATGTGGAACTGTGGGCTGTGGATACTTACCACCCACTTCTTCCGCTGGAAAACAAAATAGAAAATATACCACTGGAAGTAGAGAGGCAGCAAGGCTGGGGGCCCGACTGGGGAGGAAATGGAGAAAGGGAGGAGGTGTGAGCACCATGAGAGTCATGAAAGGGCAGGAGTGCTGGAGATGGGCTCCTTCCTGCCCACCCCCTCCTGTCACCCCCCCACTGCCTGAGTGCTTTCTCAATCCACTGGAACCAGCAGGCACTGATGGCAGGCACCAATGCAAGTCTGGACAAGGCAAAATCTCCTAGGACGACGCCAGGAAGGATGAGGGGTGGGAGTGGCACTCTTTTCCAGTGGTACAGGTTAAATCCCACACATGGAACATGCTCTGCTCCCATTCCTTTAAAAGGGCACTGCTCATATCCCTGCATTATCTTGACCACAGCCCTGTCCCTGCAGTCACCCACTCCATGTTCCTGCTGCTCCACGGTGCAGGTGAAGGTCAGGAGCAGGATAGTGTGTATGTACTGGGGGGGACCCCGCTGGTCCTTCTCAGGATGAGAATCTCACTTCCTTGGCATAGGGAGATGGGCTTGTGCCACCCCAACCTGAAGCCCTGAAGGTCAGCTGTGGGAAGGAGCAGCGGGGCTTCTTTTGAAAGAAAATGGGGGGTTGAAGAAGTGGATCTCATCCTATGTGCTGCCCATTTCTTTTCTGTATTCCTTCTCTGTACCACGTGGATGCTACCAATAACCCCTTGCATTACAATGCCCACTTATAGCTCCTCTTTCTTGAAGTGCCATGGATTCCAAAACTCTTTCTTCCCTTCTGTCCATTCACCTTTCTCTAGTAGGGATAGCTGGTAATAAGGAGTTAGGATAAATTCCTTCAAACTAAAGTGGGATCAATGAAATCCTTCTCTCCCTTCTTTTAAAAATTTGAAATTTTAAAGGAGTTTTAAAGCCCAAATTTTAGGCATGATGGAGCAGATTTTTAAAGCAGGTGTAGTGGATTGAATTATGTCCCCCCAAAACTCAGTGAAGCTTAAATTGTGTCCCCCAAGTTTTATGTATTAGAAACTCAGCCCCCACTGTGACTGTTAAGAGGGTGGGAAATCCTATTATGGTAATTAAAAGGTGGAGCCTTGAAGAAGTGATTCAATTGTAGGACTGTGTAGTAGTGAATGGATTAATAATGGTGGTCAGGGGTGTGGTTCTGAGGGCTTTAAAAGAAGAGATTCTGTCTCTCTCTGCTCTCTCTGCTTCCACCATCTTGCAACATGAGACCCCAGGGTCACTGTTGCCACCACCAGATGGACCTTGGACTTCCGGCCTCAGAAGCTGTAAGCAATAAATGTCGTTTTTCTTTATAAATCACCTCGTTTCACGTATTTTGTTATAAGCAATATAAATGGACTAATACAGCAGGGAATATATAGCAGTCTTCAGAAGGAGCTTAAGACAACCACAGAAATATCTTCTCAGCTCCAACAGCTTTTCACTCCCTCCTCCAGTCCCATTCTCCCATAGCTATCTGTACCTTTGTTCCCCTGTGGGTTGAACTGGGCTCTACCAGGTCACCTTGGCTGTGGTCTCTATTTGACAAGGTTTAAGATAAAATTTAAGGCTTAAGCAGGTGGTTACCCACCTGACCACTTAGTTTCCTTGTGGAAGCCAGGGTGAGATTGGAGGAACTACTTTTTCCCCAACACAAATGAACTTAAACCAAACATTAGCCTGTTTGACTTTGCTCTGTTGAGATGGCAAACTGCTTCCACGCAGGGAGTAAATGAGGTTGATGGTGGCATACTTCCTCCAGTCCCTTTCCTTACTATCCCGTAATCCCATAGAGAGACATTTCCTCCTCATACTCCTTCAGCACCCCTTCCCAAGGCAGTTCCCCCCTGTGCTGGATGAGGACACTCACTTAGGAAGAAGTATTTGTGCTGGTGGTTGTATGGCATGTACTTTTTCTTCTGTTTCCCAAGCTGTGAGAAGGCAAAAACCAATCAGTATCAACAGACCAGTCACCCCTTCCCTTCCTCTTACCTTGGCTTTCCCCTGCTTGGAAGTTTCGGCCTACTCCAGGTACTATCAGCTTGTTAATGTTACTAGAAGGCTCCAGCTGGCCCAGCCTTACCTCCAGCACCTGGAGCATGAAGCCCTGGGCTGTGATCTGCAGTGTGCCACACCAGAGCCCATGCCCACGTGAGGCATGTGCACAACACCTTAGGACCCTTATGGTCATCCCAAGACACCTTTGTCATGAGGTTTCCAGGCCTCCCTGTCTTCTCCCTTTTCTTTCTCCTATCTGGTACTTTTTGACATCAGTCTCCAGGGATGACCGTTTTTACCTCTATATAGGTAAGTATTCCCTCTACATCCAGCCCCTAATCCTCCCCATCAAAATCTTTTGGTCTCTTGACTTCAACATGAGCTTTATAAAACCTTTTGAAAGCTAAGCAGAATTTGGCAAATAATTGTGGAAAGGATAACCTGTGATATTATGAAAAAATATATTTGATCTTTTACTCCTGACATACAACTCCTAAAATCCTTAGAATTGCTCCAAAATGGTGTCTTTTCATATGCTAAAGAGTTGACTGATGGCTGGCAACCCCTACATAGCTTCAGGCTAGGGCCTGGTCACCTGAAAGACCAAAGGAGTCCCACCCCCAAACTCTGGGGAGGGGAGAGGAGCTAAAGGTTTACTTGATCACCAATGGCCAGTGATTTAACCAATCATGCCTACGTAATGATACCTCTATAAAAACCCAAGAGCTCAGGGGTTTGGAGAGCTGGGTAGCTGAACAGGGGGAGGTTCCTGTAGTGTGGTGCGCCCAGGGAGAGCATGGAAACTCCGCTTCTCTTTCCCCATACTTTACTTTATGCATCTCTTCATTTGTATCCTTTGTGATATCATTTATAATAAATTGGTAAATGTGTTTCCCTGAGTTCTGTAAGCCTCTCAGCGAATCAATCGAAGCTAAGGAGGGGATTGTGGAAACCCCAATTTACAGCCAGCCAGTCAGAAGCACAGGTAAAATAACCTGGGGAGCTGGGTAAAACAACCTGAGAGCTTATTCTGGGGCTTGTGAGTGTCACCTGAAGTTGGGTAGGGGCAGTCTTGGGGACTGAGCCCTTCACTTGTGCAATCTAACACTATCTCCAGGTAGATATAGTGTCAGAAACTGAATTGGAGGGTACCCAGCCGGGGTCTGCTGTGGAACTGCTGGCTTGCTTGCTGGTGGAGAGAAATCCCCACACATTTGGTCACAGAAGTTGTTCTTCTGTGTTGTTGCTGAATAACGGTAGAGGAAAACACTTTGGTGTGTGTTTTTTCCCTAAGCAGATACCAAGAACTGGCAATCTGAAGGTCTGGCAATGTTTTCCCCAGTGGACGGTGGTTATTTTGTAAGTTTCACTGCGGAAGAGATAGGCTGGGGCAGGCCAGGTCAACCAGTCAGCCCAGATCCCTGGTGTGGGCTCATGGAAACAAGACAGCACAGCTCTGCTGCCTCACTCCATGGCTCCTTCTTCATCTCTCACCCCAATTTATTCTGGTGGCCAGACGACCACAAGGGCACAGGAGCACCCAACCCCAGAGAAGAATAATCTGCTGCCTCACTCCATGGCTCCTTCTTCATCTCTCACCCCAATTTATTCTGGTGGCCAGATGACCACAAGGGCACAGGAGCACCCAACCCCAGAGAAGAATACCGGCTCATCCTTTCATGTATACACCCACTGTGTTCACAGGTCATTTATTGAGAGCTTATTCTGTGCAAGGCATTTCAGCTAGATGAAGCGTTCTGTATTAACATTCAACAAATATTTGAGCACCTACTATGTGCCAGGCACTGCGTGTTCTAAGTGCTGAGGATACAGAGGTGAACAATACAAAGTTCCTACCCTCCTGGAGAGGAAGGGTATATAACCCGAGGAGAGGAAGCTGGTGATAAGTTTGTAAACAGAGCTCAAGGTAATTTACAGATTAAAAATAGGAAAGGGTGGCCTGTTAGCTCAGTTGGTTAGAGTGCAGCCTTGTAATACCAAGGTCAAGGGTTCGGATCCCCATACCGGCCAGCTGCCAAAAAATAAAAAAAGGAAAATATGACAGAAAGTGAGGGAGGCAGGAGGGTGACCAGTTATGGCCACCCTCAGATGCAGATGCTAACATCTAAATGAGACCTGAATGATGAGAAGGGCCACCAATGCAAAAATTCACGGGAAGAACAGTTAAAGCAGGACCAGCTGGTTAGCTCAGCTCATTAGAGTGTGGTGCTGATAACACCAAAGTCCAGGCTTCATCCCTGTAATGGCCAGCCAACACACACCCACACACACACACCCCACAACACACACACCCTCACACCCCCACTCACCCACCCACACCCACACACACACCCCATTAGAGGGAATAGCCAGTACAAGGCTCTTGGTAGAATGAGAAGACCTGAAAACTAGAGACCGGCCCAATCATGTAGGGCCTTAGACAGCCCTGGTAAAGCAAAGGCAAGAAATTTGGGTTTCTTTGTTTGTTTTTTTTTTGCAGCAGGCCAGTACAAGAATTGAACTCTGTACCTTGATGTTATCGGCACCATGTTCTAACCAACTGAGCTAGCCAGGAGTTTGGGTTTTATTCTAGTGGTGACATGAAGTCACTGGAGGGTTTTCAGCAGTGGCATGATCTGCTTTGCACTTTAACATGATCGTCCTGGCTTTAGCTGGAGAGAATGAATTTTAGAGAGCAGGTATGATTGCAGGGAGATCAGTGAGGAGGCTGGATCTAATCCAGACCAGAGATAAACTGGACCAAGCAACATTAACTGAGAGGGGAAAACTGGAAGAGGAGCACCCTTCTTGTTTGGAGGGGTGGATGGGACAGAACCCTAGCCTCCATTCTTAGAGCGTTATGGAAAGTAACTTCATCCATGTGCTGCCTCCTTGAATGGCAATCAAATGCCTTTATACCAAAATAATTTTGCTCATCGTGTTTAGACTCTCGAAGGTCAGAAGGGTTCTGTTTAGGACAAAATGTCCCTTGTACCTCCTTGTGCTCCAGGAGAATTTGGAAGCACTGGGGTGGTTGCCACAGGGTCAGCATGGGCATCGACACCCAGTTAAGCTGTACCCAGAGAGACTGAACCAGGCCCCAACAGCCCAGGTACTCACTAACAAGCAGCCTGTCCTTAGCCTTATAGCTGGGAGAGGGGAGAGGAGAGGAAAGAAAGAAAGAAAGAGGCTATTTTGGGTCTGAAATCATTCTCTATTTTTGATGTCTGTAGATAAGAATTTCCTGAAAACCTGAGTACCCAGAAGCAATAAAGGTAGTGGTAAGAAGCTTCCCTTCCACTTTAGGCCCCACTTTTTTTTTTAACCTGCTGTAGTGACACTAGAAGTGCTACCAAGAGCCCCATTTTACTGCCCAATAAATAATTCACACGCCCTCAAACCAGCCACCTGAGCCAGAAGGGGGGCTGGATCATCATCCACACGCTGTTGACTGAAACAGAGTGTTGGACATGTAACAAACCAAGGAAGTCCATGCTTAAGAGGTCAGAGAATGGGCCGGCCCGGTGGCGCACTGCTACAGTGCGCAGCTTGGGAAGTGCGGCGGCGCTCCCGCCGAGGGTTCAGATCCCACATACAGACCGGCCACTCACTGGCTGAGCAAGGTGCGGGAGCAACACCAAGGGTTGCGATCCCGATGCCGGTCCCGGTCCGGTACGGGCGCGACACTGAGGGTTGCAATCCGTTGCCAGTCACGAAAAAAGACAAAAAGGAAAAAAAAAAAAAGAGGTCGGAGAATGAGAACATCATGGACAGGTAGGGCACAAGCCTCATGCTATCAGTTCCTCCTGCCAGGACAGCCAAAGTCTTTCCACAGAGTTCTCATGGCTAAAGAGGAAAGAGTGCCAGGCTGCCTTGAACTCTTGCCTGGAACTGAAAAGTGTATAATGATGGCTTAATGCCTGGCATGTTGAAATGTCATAGAGCGAGGGAGGGGGATCTGGCAGAACTCTGACTGCAGCCTGGGGCACCGGGACAAAGAGTTTTAAATTAACCTTTCAAAGAACTCTGCTGGCCTCGAGACATCCATTCCCATACACTCACTAAAAATTCACAAGATCTCCACCCCCCGCCACCAGGCATTCTTCCTTCAGCAGTTGTGTTAAGACTTTTGCTTACAACTTCAGGTGACAACTCAAACTCAGTACTAACCACCCTGGAAGTCAGGCTGGGATCAGGAGGGTGGGAAGAAGTACTTGGTGAATGGATGTGCCAGGCACGGGGCATCAAAGAAGAGGAAGACAGTCCAGCCCTGGATGGGGAAGACTGTGACACAGTCAGACATCCAAGTGTAAGAGAGAAATACAAGGCACAGGGGGAATGACTGCTTGGGGCAGGAGTGTCAAAAAAGCACCTCCAAGGAGGTGCCATCCACCACTTGCAAGGATGAGCAGGGGCCTGCACAGAAATCTCCTGGTCATCCTCTAGATCCTTTGCAGCATTTGGTCCTCTTATACAATAACTATCTGCTGACTGAACTCACTAGGGAGAACGGGAGATTCTGTCATGGGCAGGCCCAGTTGACTGCCTGTTGCCTCCCCAAACTTCCAGACAGCAAATGCTCTAGCTAGCTGGGCCCTTGATATCTTACCTGCACTGAAAACTTTTCCCCAAAGCATTTTCCCCAAAGCCCTCTGAGCTGGCTGCTTTCCATTCCCCAAGACCTTTCCACTCACTTCCACAGAGAGGATCTTTCCCAAGGCAAAGAAGAAGGGATGCATGTTGATGTCTGGGTCTTTGCGGAAGCAGTTGGGCTTGGCGTGGTGCTGGAAGTGCATGTGATTCCACCAACTGGCAGGGGCCCCCTACAGAAAAGCAGAGACATGAAAAACTAGTGTCCCTCCTACCCCCAGACAGCCCTTTATTGACTGCAGTTTCAGAGAGCCCCTCTCCATCCCACTGACCTTCAGGTGGCCAATCACAAAATGATGTACCAGGTGGTTCCATGTAGAGGTGCTGAAGACTGACAGGTGACCAAAGTCATGCTGGAGCCAGCCAGCCTGGGCCTGAGAGAGAAGGGAATGCTGAGTGCAGCCCACCAGCCCAACGTCCCTCTCCCTGACCTCAGCAGCTCCTTCAGCCTCTCCTTCCTTCTTCCACAGAGGCCTGTGATGGCTGCACTACCCCAACATAGCACACCAGGAAGGGAGCCAGGAAACCTGGGTCCTAATTCTTGTTCTACCACTGACTCACATATGAATTGGGGTAAATCACTATCCCTTCTTTGTTCTTCAGTTTCCCCAGCTCTGAAGTTCTGTGACTTACGATGGACTGACATTCAGAATACAGAAAGGACTCAGGTGAGTAGAAAGCTTGCCAAATGGGTAGTAGGGTCCAACCAATATTAGCATGTTGGGCAATACTGGTGGTGGAGAGGGAGCCAAGCTTTGCTGAGAAACCAGCATCTTGGTTCTTGGCACACCTGGCCTGCAGCAGATACTGAACTCAAAGTTTCAGAGAACAAATTCCACAAGGAGAAGGGAACCCTGTGAGAAGCAGCTGGAGAGACAGAAATAAAGGTGTGCATGTGGCTAATAAGCAGATAAAAGCCACAGACACTGGACTCTCTGCATGGACCCTCCCATATAACCTTAGATCTGCCCTGGTCAGAGGGCAGGGCTTCTTGGCCTTCTGAAGGGTACAGAGAGCTTTCCCCAGGGGTCTCACCTGAACTACGCTGAGCAGCATTGCACAGAAGAGGAAGGGCACGAAGGATGTCCCAAAGACCCAAAGTGTGAGCCAGGCAGCAACATCCAGCAGCAGGATGTGCAACAGGTACAGCAGGAAGAAGACATGGTTGGCCTTCATGAGCCCCATCTGCTCCACCGTGGCCCGCAGCTCCCGGAACTCATCAGTCAGCTCTTTCTGTGGAAGAGTTTGGGGGGTGGTTGGTGGTGTTACTCTTCCCAGTTGCAACCCAACACTGCTGGGGACAAGGGCCCACTCAGGCTCAAGGATCTCCCTCTGAGGTTGCTGTGGGAAGTCCATAGTCCTAGGCAAAAATACCACAATAGTGAGGAAGGATGACAGAAGGAGGTGCTACGGGATCACACCTAAGAGTTTAAGTCCCTGCTCTGCCATTTACTAACTGTGTGACCTTTGGCCATGCCGCTTAAGTTCTTTGAACCTCAGTTTTCTCTTTTGTAAATGTGAGAATTATATGAGTTTATTCTTGACACATAGTAAGTGCTCAGAAAATAGGTCTCATGATAATCATAATGATGATGGTAGCCACGGTAGTGGCAGCCTTGGGAGAGCCATAGGTTACAAAACTCTGCTCTCTCAAGCTTATGACCCCATGACTATGCAAGAGGTGAAGGAACCTCAAGACTCCCAAGAACTACTGACGGGTCACCTGTGATCCCATCTAGGCTTTCCTGCTATCCCCTTCCCCCAATCTCCAACAACCAAGAGTCTCCAAACAGCAAACAGGGTCTCACATTCTTGGTTGGCTCAAAGCTGGGCTGCTCCGGAGACAGTTCCCCAATCAGGAGAGAGTTCATATACTTCCTCACAAGGCCCTTGTTGATGTGGAACGCCATAAAGGGATCCTGCAAGCACGGTGAGGAGACAGAAAGGTGAGGGAGCAAGCCCCAGTCCCCTGGAGTCCTGGAGGGCTCACTCCAAAGGCCATCCTCTTGCCAGCCAGAAGGCTGTACCAAAGTTGAGGCAGAAACCACCTCTCTCCGGACAGCAGTCCTTTAAGGGTGCTCAGACCTTTCCCAGGTGTCCACAGTTCAAGATCACCCAGCAACCGTGTTCTAGTAAGAAGGGGGTACCAAACCAAGGAATAGGAAGCATTGGCTGGGGGGTATCACCCAGAAAGACCTGCCTGGGCTGGACTTTCCCGTGTGTGTGTGTCTAGGGACAGCTTTTGCCCATGAATGTAGATGTAAGTTTGAAACAGTCAGAAGGGATGGGTGGGGCTATGAGACTTCTCAGTCTCTTCTTTTGGGACTTTTAACAAGTTCTTTCTCTGACCCAGCATTCTGTACAAACTGCGAACAGAAAGACTCCCTGTACCCGAAATGGTGAATTTTTGCATTTCACCCCCTTTCTTCCGCCACTGTTCCGGGTAGGGTTCCATATCTCCCCCAGCACTCTGACCACCCACTAATCCAGGGTGGCTAACTCGGTTTAGGCGAGGTAGGGGGCCTCGGAGACGAGATTCCCTTGCAAAGGTTGGGCGTGAAGCGGCGTGTGGGGCGGGGTCCGGGGCGGAGCCGGCGGCTGGTGGCACCACAAGTCCGGACCAATCGTCGTCCCCGCCGCGGCGTCCCCGGCCCCAAATCACTCTACGGGAAGCCCAGGCGTCGGCGCCTGCTCCCTCTGCGCATGCGCCGGCCCACGCCTGCGCCGTCGGCAGCTATCTGGGCTCCGAAATGGTCACTCCGGGTCACCCGCGCAGGCTCTGGCCACCGGCCACCTCAGAAAGGGAAGCGGGTCCACTGTGATGTAATAGGAACCCTGGTGGCCCGAGGCGTGCTCTGGAATGACAGGGCCGTGGAGGGGAACACGCCGCAGGGCATGGGATGAGAGAGGGATGCAGGGGAAGGGGACGCGATCCTGGCTGCCGAGGGGGAAACGCGGTGAAGCGACGGCCCTAACTTTTGGGTTTCAAGGGGTGATTCCTCCCCATCCCGGCGCTGCAGCCCAGCAGAGTGGCGCCGGGTGCCGATGGTCTATTAAGAGCAGCAGCCGGACAGGGGCTGGGGCGCGCTCTGATCTCGCAGTGAGGCGCAAGGGGGGAGGGACGCAACCCTGCAGTGGGCCTCCCGCCCTGGCGTGCAGACGGCTGTCCGCTCCGCCGAATAGCTGCAGACTCCGCTGGCATGCGGTTGAGCGGCCTCCCCGGCAGCATTCGAGGACTGTTCCCGGGGTCCTCGCTAAGTGTACGCTGATGAAGGCGCCCCCACCTTCAGCATGCCATTCCCATTTCCCACTGTGCGCCAGCCGCCGCTAACCCACTCCGGTCGGGGCTGCCCCTTTCCCGCCCTCCCGCCTTCACACCCGAGCTTCCCAAGACAGTGGACTCGCCAAAGCTTCCTGTTTCAACCCTATCTTTGAGAGCGGGCCCCTCTCCTACTCCCTCCCGCTCCTGCTCGCGCTGGAGCCTGGCACGCTCCGTCTAGACGCGGCTGCGCTCCCCCTCCCAGCCACCAAAACGACGCGAGTCCCTCCGCCGGCCGCTGACCCGTCCTCCCCCGGCGCCCGGCATCCTCGCTCTCTTCCCTCCAGCTCTGGGTCCTGCCCACGTCTGGAGACCGCAGACTCGGGGCTACACACGCAATGCACAGATGGACAGCGCAGCCCTTTGTGTGTGCGCACGCTGCCGGCCTCCATCCCTACTCCCCAGACTCCAGTTTTCGGAGTCTCTCTCCTGCCCTTGCGTCCCGTGTCTGCAGGACGCCCAACCAACGGGCAACAGGTATGCTCGGGCTCCTCCCGGCTTTCCCCGAATTAGCTGATATTCCGCACAGTGCCAACCTTCCCTTCTTGCGCACGCAGCCTCTGGTTGCGACCGCCCGGCCCCGCCCCCTCCCGTGCCAAGGCCTGGCAGCGCTCACCGTGGCATCCTGCCCGGAGTAGTGGCTGATGACTCGGGAGCCCCCCGGGTGGCGGCGGGTGAACTCGCTGATGTTGTACACCTTCCGGTCGATCACGAGCCACCGCTCCTCGCGCCCGCAGCGCTGCGCCACCTCGTCCCAGGTGAAGTAGCGCGGGGTGGGCCCCCGGGCCGGGGTCTCGGCGGCCACTGGATCGGGGGCCATCTCCGGCCTGGCGACTCTGGGCGCCCGCCAGGCAGGGGCTGTCAAGCGCAGGCCCCGAGCGCACGCTCCGGCCTCGCGTACTCCGGGAGCGGGTCGGTTGGCGCGCGCCGGGCGCCCGCCTTCGGCGCGCAGCGTTTTCAGCACCACGGCGCGGACCGCGGGGCCTCGCAGCGCGTGCTCCCATTGGCCGAGCTTCGTGGCGCGGGGGGCGAGCCCCCGCCTACCGCCCGGAGGACTCTGGCAGCTCTAGTCGGCTCGGTGGCACGCCCCTTCGCGGGCTCCTTAAGGGGGTCGCCGCCGGATTCCACTCCGTGACTCGCGTCAGGGGGCTGTCACGGCGATGGCTTCCAGGGGGCGCCGCGGTCGGAATAACAGTTTCTGGGGACGCCCCTCCCCGATGCGGGATCCGGCCTTCCGGAGGGAGAGGCCCAAGTGCGAATAGGAGCCTGCCGGGCCGGGCCAGGCGGGGCCGGCGGGAGCGGGGGCCGAGTTCCGTGAGTGGGTGCATGGAAGGGCCCGGGGCTGGGTGGCGGCTGAGGGGCGGGCGGGGGGAGGGTGTCCCCGAGGCCGAGGTCGTCCCTGGGCCGTCCCGGGGCCTAGACTGTTCTGGGGGCCGGGCTGGCCCGGCCGGGCCCAGGCTGCCCAGGCAGTCCAGCCTGCCCCAGGGGCATCATCTGAAGGCTCTGGACGCCTGCGCCAGGGTCTCCAGACGCTGATCCTCCGTGGATTGAAACAACCTCCTCACCTCACCGTCTGCCCCTGTTGTGCTGCTAGAAGGACAATAGTTTGAGAACCCTTGCGATTACAGTTATTTTGTGAACAGCACAACTGGTTTATTGGGTGTGGTGGTGGGGAGAATTGTTAATGCTTTAATTTGTTCAATATAATAATAAAAAAAGCCCCGTAACTTTTGTAACACTGCCTTTTTTAGTTTGATTTTGTTTTTATTACATTTTTAAAAAATTAACTGGGCTCCATTAATGATTCCATCAACTCCTTACCTTTAGGTGTCCCCTTGTGAAAAGCCTGGGTCTTCAAGCTGAGGCTTTTCTAGTCTAGCCTGGGAACCCTAGGAGACTTTATTTATTTATTTTTTTTAAAGATGATGGGTAAGGGGATCTTCACCCTTGACTTGGTGTTATCAGCACCACACTCTCCCAAGTGAGCCATGGGCCGAGCCCCCGAGGAGACTTTTAAACAGAGATTTGGGACTGAGATCTCTGGCTTTTAGGAAGAGCAGTGGGAAGGCATACAAAGGTGGGGGGGGGTGCCAGTTAAGAAGCTGTTGCAGTCCTGAAGAGACCGAGAATTTCGGTGATAAATATTCTTTTATTTACTCAACAAACACTTTATAAAGCACTTACTATGTGCCAGGCACTGATACACATACATATGCATTCCTTAGTTTCCTGCAGCTGCTTTCACCAGAACAAGAAAAGAGTGCGCTCAGCAGCTCCCTGGCCAACTGCCTCTCCACCAATACTGTGAGCTCTAAATATACAGGAATGAAGCATTGCACTCTGTGATGTGAGTGTCTCTCAAGGGGGCCTCCCCACATGTTCTATCCAAATACTTGCAATATCAAACTACAATCAGATTCTACTCTAACTGCACTTCATTGTTGGAGAAGGATGCATCAAGTTCCAACAGCGTGTAGCAAGGAAAGGAGGGAATGTAGTAGAATAGAAAGAATAAGGATTGGTATTTGGGAGACTTGAGAACTAGTCCTGCTATTCCACCTACAGTATGTAATCTTACACAAGTCATGTTCACCTCTCTGGGTCTCGTATTCCTTATCTGTCAAGTGAAGAGGTTGGCCAGATGCCTTCTAGGGCTAGTGGCCTATGGTTCTTTTTAAACGAAAATTTTATGCACTGTATCATACCTCTGATCAGTGTTCACCTGGAGATAATACTTCTGATAATATCTGTTTCTTAACTAGTTCCCCAACCTGTTATTTAAGGCAACTGAATTGACAACCTTAATACATTTATGCCATTTTTGTTTTTGAAATTATTAAATGTTTTAAAAATATGACTTTCACCACAAATTAATAAATTGTTATCTAGTAAACTTGGTTAAAGTAGTTTGGTCTGACCAATATTGTTAGCTAAAATTTATATATGACATTTTCACATACCTTGGGTCCTTTGATCTTCATTATTTAAAAAAAAAAAAGGTGACATAGGTCAGAAATTACTATCGCCATTTTATTGTGAGGAAACGAGGTCAGTGAGACGATGAGACCAAATATTACATGGTAGGTACGGAGTGGAAGTACTGTGAGGGTCGTGATTGCTTTTGATTTGTGACTTCCCACAAGAAGGAACAGACCCTGTTCCCCAAAGGCCACGGTCACTTCTGGGCTTGTGACCTAGGCCTGGCTAATTAGAGCAACTCATCCCTCTGGCAACAATGATTGGCACAAGGGTTAGACATATGACCCAGAACCCATTAGAATCTTTCCCTGAAATTAATTCATGTAAGCCAAGGGTGAGGGAACATTCTTTTTGCTAGGGGTGCTTAGCAGGTACAGCCATATTTTCTGTCACATGGAGAAGATCTTTCTGCAGTAAAAGAGATTCAGGCCAACAGGAAAAGAAAAGCAGAGTGAGTGGAAAAAACACAGTCAGTTTCTCCCACTGTACTCTCACAACACGCTTCTGACACCAGATGTGTGTGGGGTTTCTCCCTATACACTAAGCAAGCAATCAGTTCTGCAGCAGACACCAGCTGACTATCCTCTAATTCAAATCTATTCTGACACTACCTACCTGGAGATAGCATCAGATACCACAAGTTAAGGGCTCAGTCCTGAAGACTGCCCCCACTTCAGATGCCAGTCACAAGTCCAGGCCTCTAGAACTTCTAACCGGCCAGCTAAAAATTGGAGTTCCTCCAACCACCTCCTCCCTCCTTAGGCTCAATTAATTTGCTAGAGGGGCTCACAGAACTCAGGGAAACGTTTACAGCCAGTTTATTTTAAAGGATACAAATAAATAGCCAGATAAAGTGATACACAAGCCACGATCTGGAAGGGTCCTGGGTACAGGAGATTCTGTTCCCGTGGATTTGGGGTGTGCCAGCCTCCTAGCACATGGACAAGTTCAGCTGTCCAAAAGCTCCCCAAACCTAGTCCTCTTGGGTTTTTATGAGGGCCTCATTATGTAGGCATAATTGTTTAAATCATCGGTCATTGGTGATCAACTTAACCTTCCTCCCCTCTCCCCTTCCCGTAGATTGGGGAGTGGAACTGAAAGTCCCAACTCTTTAATCCTGCCTTGGTCTTTCCAGTGACCAGCCACATCCTGAAGCTGCCTGGCGTCTGCCAGCCATCAGAGCCAACAGCTGACTCATGGCGTACCAAAAGACACTCTCATCACTTTGGAGATTCTGGGGATTTTAGGAGTTGTATGCCAGGAAAAGGACAGGAACTGCGATAAGACCAAATATGTACTGTATTTCAAAATATCACACAGAGACAAATAGAAAGTTGAATACTACTTCCACAGGCCCTGGTTCCTGATGCTCATTATTTCAATGGCTAGTCGAGTCGATAAATTTATTTTTTTTCTTACACTAGTTAGAATTTTTTTTTCCTATTATTTTTAATCCAGAAATGAACACAGAAACTTTGGCTCACAGTCTAGTGTCCTTTCTTCCAATGTTAATAATAGCAGTGAGCAGTCGAGCACTTACAAAGTGCTGGGCAGTGGGCTAAACACTCTACATGTATTAGTTTATTTACTGCACCAAAACTAAAGCCCCAATTCAGAAAGGCTAAATATAGAACCCTGGAAAAGTGAAACCCCTTCCTCAGGTACTATGGCATCTAAATTATCTTTTTTAAGAACTGAGATTATAGTTTTTGTAAAAATGTGGCCAAGTGATTCTGCCCCAGTAAGAAGGATGTCTAACTCAGAAGAGGGTTCCAGACTGCAACGTTCCCATCTTCTAAGGCAGAGGATCCTCCTTCCCCTGCCTCTTTCTTGTTAAATGCTTTCTCATTCTTATCAGCCATGCTGACTTATAATAACTACTGATAATATGCATTGAGTTTTTGAGAGAAAGGCCTAACGTAAGTGAAACATCTTTTCATTGCTAAATGATTTTAGATTGTAAAACTGTGAATGTTCATATCATTAAATTTAATTACTCTCAGGCTTCATGGTGAAAACACTAGGAGTATATCCCATTAAATTTATATATTTAGTCCAGATCACTTTTTTTTTTCCTTTTTGTCTTTTTTCGTGTCCGGCAATGGATCGCAACCCTCAGTGTCGCGCCCGTACCGGACCGGGACCGGCAACGGGATCGCAACCCTCGGTGTTGCGCCCGCACCTCGCTCAGCCAGTGAGCGGGAACCGGTCTGTATGTGGGATCCGAGCCCTCGGCGGGAGCGTGCCGCCGCACTCCCAAGCGGCGCACTGTAGCAGTGCGCCACTGGGCCAGCCCCAGATCATTTTTTTGAACTTCTGATTCATAGATCCGGTGCCTTCTTGCCATTTCTGTTGGGATATCTTACCACCATTTCCAAACTAGCATATTCAAGCCTGAACATTTCTTCTCCTACTTCACCTTCCCAAACCTGCACCTCTTCTGTTGTCTTCTCCATTGTTTATAAAATGCTCCGTTCACTCAGTAGGACATGCCAAAGACCTGGGAGTCATTTTTGAAACTTCACTCTCATTGATCCATTACCAAGTCCTACTTCTACCTCCAGAAACATAAATCTCCTCACTTCCTTCTATCTCCACTGCATCCACCCAAGCTATTGTCACTTGCCTTGATTCCTGCAATAATCTCCTAACTAGCTTTCCTGCCTTTATCTACATTTGACTCCCTCCTATCCATTCTCTAGAGAGCAGCTAGAGTGATACCTAAAATTTAAGGTCATGTCAGTTTTCTGCATAAAACCAGTCATTGGTCTCCCACTGTATTTGAAATAAAATTCGTACTCCTGTGGCACTTGCCTATCTCTCATCTCCTCTGGTGGCCCTCTTCCCCCTACCAAGTACACTATAGCCACAATGGCCTTTCTGTTCCTGAAACATACTAAAGTCATTTCTGAATTGGAGATTTTGTATATGAGTGTTCCATCTGCCTAAAACATGATCTTCTGCCCTTCCCATGATTATCTCTTCAACCATCTGTTCCTAACTTAAATTTTGTTAAACTTAAGTG